CATGAAAACCTTGGACATGATGGAGTCAAATAGGTCTCCTGTAATCCAAGTAGCTCTGAATCCCCTGGCAACTCCCTCCTCAGTCCTATTTTTCCTATCTTTCCTCTACAGTTATAGTCTAGCTCTCCTGAAAGATGAAAAAAAATCCTGAATAGAGAAGACAGTTAAATATAAAATACTTCAAATCAATAAAATGTTCTTTGTGGCTGTTTTCCTGACAGGAGGGATCTGTTCTCACTCTCCTTAACCTCAACGCCCTCAAGAAATTTCAGAGCACACCAAAGATAGAGACTTTGTGACAGCAGCCAAACCACAGTTGACAATCAACCAAAAAAGCCTTAAATTGGGATGGGAGGGAGGGGGAGAACAACTTCATTTGTTTGTAGGTAAAGAGATCCCTCTGCTGGTTTTAGGGGATAGTGCAGGAATTGCCATTTCCACGTCTCTCTGCTTCATTAAGGTCCTTATTTAATTATGGGACCAAAACATCCACTGCATAAAGACAAGCTCATTTCATCTTTTACGTAATTGAATATAGCAGGAGACTAATCCCTAAGTGAAGAGGATCAGACTCTGGATTCAGGCAGGACTCTGCTCATTATGCCCTCGTGGAAGTGACAGTGGGAAGACTTCAGCAAAATCCACACGGACAAACCAACCAGGTAAGTTTTTATGTATGTTTTATGTCAAACCCTCAGCACAAGGTGCAGCTTTTTGTCAGAGGAAGAAGAGAAGAAAGCTGCTCACTCACTTTGCTGCAGCAGCTGGGAGTGCTGAGAGCAGAAGTGCTAACCTAAGTGCCTCCAGCAAGGCAAAAAACCCTCGGCAGAATATGAAGCCGCAAAATTAATGAACAGATAGAGCATATCATTTTTATGTTAAATTGTGATAAATTAATCCCCTGCTTTGGGTCTTTTACAAGCAGAAGTTATTAAATTCACAGCCTTTACAGTGACCCTGCTAGGAGGGCAGAAAGCAGCTGAAGTTTGGCTTAAGGTCACAACAACTGGCTGCTTCCTCCTGGTTTGCACTAGAATTTGGGAGAAAGTTGAAGTAGTGTAATTTAAGATAACCTACAGACCTGCAGCAAGAAAAATACAGCAGAGATAGACAACATGCATTGTTCTGCGTGCTCAGATTCTCCCATCAGAAAAACTGAACCCAACAGGAACCGTTTACCACTTGCTAATGATTTTTTTTCTAGGACCTAAATATCAAAATATTATTCTAAAATACTCTGCTGTGCAGACTTTGTGCCAGAACTTTCCTCAGCTTCTTGGCTACGTGTTAGGCAGTGTTAGACATTCACCTTTTCAAAAGTTATTTAAATGTAAAACCTTATTTTGTTAGAAAAAGACCTGCTAGAAGTGCTGAATTATTTTTAGACTTTATGAAAGGAAAGGGGGAAAAAAGTGATAATAACATTAATGGTTTTGTCACTTCTGCTCTTCTGTAGTTGTGCTTCATCCAGCTCCTTCTCCATTTTCTCTCTTTCCAAATTCAAATCATTCAGCTCCTGATCAGTCATCTTAATCCTCCTTTGTAGTCTGCGATTCTCAGCATCCTTTGTGAGGTTTTCTGAACGTAGTTCTGCTAACAGGGTCTCCTTCTCCATCAGGAGAGCTTGATAATCTGCAGCACCCTGAAACAGAGAGCAGGATTCAAGCTCTAGAAGGATGTTTTGTGCAGCCTGGAAGTCTTTATTCCTGTGCTACCCAAACCTGCTCCCCTGGACCTCTTCCCAATGAAATAACAAAACAGGGAAAGTGTTGCACTGAAAATTTTGTGTACTGATGTATCACAACTTTCCATGACATCCAGTGCAGGATAACAAAGCCTGAGACAAGTAAGAATGAGATAAAGGTTGATGTGCAGAGGAGTCCACAGTGCAAACAAGATCATAACAGTATTACTGGTTCCCAGAGGTTTAATCACATAAAGGTTTGGATCTGGACTAGGGCAGGGAGTTACCAAGTCTTTCATAGGCTCATACAGTCATTAAGGCTGGAAAAGACCTTTCAGATCAAGTCCAACCACCAACCCAGCACCAGCACCACGTTCACCACTAAACCATGTCCTCAGGTGCCACATCCACACATTTTCTGAACACTTCCAGGGATGGACAAAACTATGCTTATGCCCAGTGGAGTTAATATGAAGCAGCAAGTCTGATTTGTGTTCTTCCCCACCACACACTGCTCCTCCCCTGAGGCTCACATGGAGGGGACAGGAGCAGTGGGCTGTGCAGCACAATCTACTCACAGAGAACTGCCTTCAACTCAAGTGTGTAGCTAAGTAGCAGAATACTGAGGAGAAGGACTTGCTCTGTCACCCACCGTGGAATATGCATTCTGTGGACAGGAGGGATTAGTTGCACTCTTTTTAAACTTAGAACTTTGAAAAAAATAATCCAGGTCTCAGGGAAATGAAATGGTTCAAATTAAGAATCATGTTTCAAAGCAGGAGTTCCACGGTATGGAAAAGCAAACCTAAGCCATAGATTCAGACACAAGTGAAAAGGACCTGGAAAAGAAACAGGATGTGCTTTTCTCAATAGAGCATGTCTAAACCATGGGGCTAAGTGAAATAAAGGGGTTTTGAAGAAATGGAGGAGGACTAAATATTCCTGCTCCATTAGACTCTGCAATCAGGGTCAGTCACAAAGGCTGCAGGTGTGTGCAGGTGTATCCACCTCTTCCATCCCTGCCGAGCTGACACCAGGGGGATGAACAAACAGCACAAGAGAAGACTCAGCACAGCCTCTAACCACCACCAGTTCATTGTATCAGACTTGAGATGAGTCTGAAAACATTACAGGAGACATTTCATTGTCTATTTTAATATCAAATCCTTCTTTTCTCCCGTTTTACATTGTAAGACCTTTATAATGAATAAATTAGCATCATGAAGTCCTTTCCCCTCCACATACAGCAAAGAATTACCAAACCACATTTTCACAAATAACATTCCCCTGTTTTATAAATAGTGGTTTCACATTTATTAGACAAATAAATCCAAACAAGTGTCTCATACCCAGTTCAACTCTGCTAACACGAAGCCTGTGCTGGTACCATAAACAAAACTTAGGTCAACAAAGAAAAGGTCAAGATCATCTCAGCTCCACAATTATCTGTGTCTGTATTTTTAGCTTATTTTGCTTTCAAAAGTTTCTCTCTTAATGATTCTCAGTTGTTACAGAAGAAAAAAAAAAAAATCAAGATACAAGGTAAATTATTTAACATTCCATTGTTTCAATAATTGGATTTGGGAAGTTTCTTTCAAAGTAGGAAAAAACTAAACATTTTAAACAACATCTTAAACTAATTTCCATTCCTCTGCTTTCAAGGATACAAAGCACTACCCACTGTGTGGGATTATGGAGAAGGGAAAAACAGGGATGGGGAAAGTCACATCAGTGACTTGTTCTTACCTTGAATTTCTGGACATGTGCCTTGTGAGTTGCCTCTCTTGCCTTAGCCAATGAAGCATTTAACTCTTCAATTTCAGAGCCAAGCTCCTCGTTCTTTAAGTAAAGTGAAAGGAATACTATGTAGAAAGAGTTATTCCCAAGGGTTGGTTATTCAGTAATAGCTATCCCATCTCATCATCCATTCAACCAACTGCTCAAAACCCTTCCCAGAACAAAACCACCAAACACGTCAAAATCAATCTTGCACAAAGGAATTCCTGCTCTCATACAACACTCACTGCACTGCCTATCACTCAAGTTAAGTAATTCCCATTCTTCCACACAATCTGACTTTCAGCTGAGGTTGACCTCTCCTCTTTCAGCTGCCTTTGACAGCTCCACTTCTCAACAACATAAAATACTCCTGGTACCTTGTAAGTGGTGCTCAGAGCTGATAAAACTCAGTGTGCAACTGAAAACATTTCCCCCTCAAAGTTCTAAAGGGAAAAAGTATCAGTAAGTATCTTTCTCCTCTCTCCTCCAGTCAAAAACTCAAACTTCAGACAAACAGAACTGCTTAGAGATACAACAGCAGTGATCAGGAATCCTCCTGGTTACAGTGAGATCAGCCAGATCCTGTCACAGACACAACCCCCTCCCAGGGAGAGTTCAACAAACCAGCAAGATCACAACCACCATACCTCTTTCTCCTTTGCTTTTAAGGCAACAGTTAGCCCTTGGATAGTTTTATCTCTTTTCAAACCATTCTTCTTCTCAACAGCAAGTTCATTTTCTCTCTCTTGTAGCTCTTCTTGGAGTGACTAAATTAGATTATGTGAAAGTTGCATTAACTTCCCACTAAGAGATAATGTAACTGCACATTAATAAGGACATTCCCTCAGAGCCTTGCAGCTTATTACTCAGATTACCAGCATAAAATATAAGTCCCAAAATGACCCTCATCATGCTAAAGATGTGCCTGGAATACAGAATAAGAGGGCTAATCTCACGGGCTGGTCATGAGGATCAGCTTCAATATTTGATGTGCCCCTATCAGCTTTGCTGAAAATTGTTTGAAAAACAAGAGAGGCTTTCCTGTCACCTCACATGAAAGAATTCACCAGAGGACTTGCTCTGCCTCCTTTCAAGTCAAGACCTCTCTGTACCTATGGATAACAGAGGGAGCCCAACACACACTCTAAGTGGTTGAGGAAACAGAAGCAAAACTAGAACTTACCTGAATTTTTTTTTCAAAGGAATTTCTCTCATTTTTAAGCTCCATTCTAAGAGCCTATAAGAACAAACAGCTGTTATGGTCATGTAAATTGATTCTTCATACATATGTTACTCATTAAGTATTAAAATGAAGCAAAATGAGCTTGAAAACCTTGGAAGTGAAGGGAAAACTTAGTATATGGCTTGAATCAGTATATGATTGAATCAGTTGCTTCCTGAAGTCTACAAACCTACCTAGGCACAGTATGAGCCTGTCCAAATGAAGAATAATTGAAACAAAACACTAAATAACCCCCTACACCACATGTTCTTCCATGAGACAGGACAACTGCACTTGCTGAGTCAATAAAGGTGCATCTTTATGTGACATTTATCCTTGTCAGCAAGATGCTTTTAGCCAGGGAGGTTTTAATGAGCACTTTTTCCCTGGGGAGGTTACAGAATTATTTGCTTTAAAAATTAATCCTATATCAAACCAGAGCTGTGCAAAGATCCTCCTCAGATTGTTTTTCTCCAATAGTGCATCCAAAATGATCACGCAGCCTGTCCAGCTCCTCTCAAGTGACTGAGGATGACACTGTGTTCACCTTGACACACAAACACTTGGGAATGCAGGGTGGCTCTTCCTGGCAAAGACTGATGTAACTGCAAGACCACCCAGAACTGAAAACTTTTCATTCCACTCATCAGACCAATATAGAAGGTTCTCTTGTCTATGCTTGACATAAAGTGTGTAGGTACTGATCAATATTAAGTTCCAAAACAAAGGGGAACAGAATTTCTCAGCAGCCTGACAGGCTCCATGATTAACTTTCCTAATCCTGCCACCTTTCATTTCTTGTTTGAAAACCAGCAGGGAAAAAAAACACAAAAGAGACAACAAGCCTTAAGACTTGTTTCCACACTGCAGCTTTCAGGATATCTGTCTTCCTGCTTAAGAGCCAAGTGAAATAAAGCCTGATTCTTGCATCTTTAGTGAGTTAAAGGCTAAACTTCCACTTTATTTCATGAGATTTTTTTATGCCCCTCTCCCTCACCACAACCTTTTTTCCAGACCATAACAGCAGAGACACTTCCCAAGAACAAACTCTCAAGTCACATTCTTATTATGTCATCTAGTAAGGGATCTATTAACATCTAGTATTTCTTTAACACATCCTTCAGTAAAGCAATGCAGAGTATCTGTAACAGGCATAAAGTCAATGGGAAACACAACCTCTCATTGAGTGAATGGATAATAAGGATGAATATTGCTCACCAAGCCACAGTATAACCAAGGAATGGTAAGGAAATGGAGAAGGGAGGAAGGAATAACTACATAGAAGGGTATTTTTAAAAGCTGGGTGAAGTCATTCACTGTGCCATGCACAGAACCTTTATAATCCTACCCCACATGAGATCTATAACATACAACTGCTCAGGCAGTTCCTCACCTCTATCTCACTATCTTTTTCATGCCTCAAAGCTGTAGTAAGTTCTCTGATTTTTTCTTCTGACAAGTTCCCATCACATGATCCACTCTGAGACTTCTCCTCTTTGAGGTGTTGAATTAAAGCTTCTTTGCTTTTCAGTGATTGATTCAGTTGCTCTATAAGCCTAAAATTATAAGATTTTTAACATTAATCTTGCATCATCTACCACCAATTCCCCAGTCAACCCTGTAAATCTTGCAGACAGCTCTCCCAGGTGAAGACTCCAGACAAGACTTGTAAAACTTAAAGGAAGACTTTAACCAATCCTCCCTCCAGAGAGCCAGGAAAAGTGCTGTAACTTCAAAGCAAGTAGAGAGGTTTGAGCTAACTGCAAAGTGCTCATTGTTGTTTTCCTTCAGTACCACTTCAAATGTTAACACTCAGGTTTCAGTACTTGAGTTACAGCACACACAAAACCCTTATCCATCTACTCCCCTTCTCAGCCCACACAACACATCCTTCCATGCCAGCACCAAGAGGCCCTCAAGCACTCCGTTTCATCTAAACTTGTATCTCAGCTGAACAAGGGAGATGGTCAGGATCACTCCTGTAACCAAGGGCAGGACCAAACTATTGAAACCTACATCCATGTCAACTCCTCACACTTCAAGAGTAAAGAATTTCAAGGTTAGGAAATTCACTGGCAACAGTTCTGACCTGTCCTTCTCAGCTCCTGTAACCATATCCAGGTCCTTTGTAGGGGCATTCATAATTGAAGCAAGTTTCTGCTCAGCAGCTATTCTCAGAGCTTTCTCCTTCTCTGTCATTGCAAAGGCTTTTTCCACATCTTCTTGGGCAGCTTTAAGATTCTGTAATTAAAAAACACACAATCCTAGTGCCTCTAAAAACAAAATGCTCATGAAGTTTTCCACATTGTGAAGTTTGTTCTACCAAACATAAGTCAGGATGTTTAATTTAGGAACTTTAACCAAGTAGTTCAAGCACTTTGCAGCAAATGCTTCTGAACTCTGTGTCTGCAATGTCAAGATTAATCCATTTCTGTGGCACAGAAGGAATTTTGTTTCAAGGAAATAAAAGAAACACCCTAACTGATAACAGAACTGGAAACAAAAGTGCCCCTATTGCTAGGGTTTTACATTTAGCTACTATAATTTAGTGTGAGGACAGTGGGACAAAACCATCATAATAAATAGCAAGACTCAAATTAAAGAGGTTAAAGGAAGGGCTCTTTGAGGCAATGAAATTAATCTTCCCGGGCTCACTGTAGCTAATTGGAACTCTCCCCAACAGCATTTATCATCTTTTGCAGGAATTGATAAAGTATGAACCAGACATTTTTTCTCTTGAGCAGCAAAGGAAACAGAGATAACACCCAGAGATGCCAGTCAATCTCCTCTGGGTGACCCAAGTCAGGGAGATGGGGAACACCAAGAAAAATGGCACCACACACTACATCAAATTTGTTTCAGAGCTTCATTTTTAGATTGCAAGCTTCCCTGCTGTGCTAACCCAATTCTGCTTTCTATGAAATAAAAGCCTTCTTGGAGCCTAGCAAGGAATTCCTCTCTGTCCTTCAAGTCTAAATCAAAAAGCATCTCTTTGGGGGAGGAAAAGCTCCTTCACCACTAACTTCCCCACTCAAGCCCTCTCCTGAAAGGTTGTTCTGCCAGGACTCATCTGTCAGCCAAGAACTCTGAAGGAAATTACTCTTTGTTACTACTGCCTGGATCTATATAAGTACCTGGTGCTGTGTAAACCAGTGACTAATGCCACACTGCAGTGTTTGCTTCGTAACAACAATCAAATTCATGTCAAGGCCAACGTTATCTTCAGGCTACAGAAAGCACTTGATCTTCAGGAGGCTAAATACTTGCCCTTCAACCTTGTCAGGTCTGGGAAACACCAGTATGACTGGCTGGTTTGGTACAGAAGTAATTTAGGACCTTCTCTACCAATCCAATAGCACAAAGAATGCCTTGAGAAATTCCAGTTCCACTACACTGAAGGAAAGTCATGGAGATTCCCCTCTCCTCCCCCCTGAGGAGCTCATTGCTTTAAATGGACTTCAGTAATCCTTGTGAGTCCTTTCCAGCTCAGGATATGCTATGATTCCATGATCCTGGTGGAAAAATATGAGCAAGAGATTGCCACCAGTATCTTCCATTCTTTAGAGATTTGAAAGCAAATCTTGGAATTAATCCACTTGTGTTATTTCTCTTTCCTTACAGAAGAAGCACCAGACATGGATCTCCCTCATAAACACAGCTACAAAGCCTCACACCTCACACCTGAGTCACACCTCACACTGCAGAGAGTCAGTGATGCAAACCAGCAAACACAGCTACAAAGCCTCACACCTCCAGAGAACTGCAGAGAGTCAGTGATGCAAACCAGCCATGAGCTTCTGCATCCCTAGAACATTTCCAGCACAGACCAATATCCAGTTTGTTCTTTACAAGGAACTGAACTTCTCCTTGCTTTGAAGGAAGCATAATATTCATATGAAGAATTTTTTTTGCCTTTACACTACAAAATGAGGAGAACATGAAGCAGTTCCTCTGCAAAGCCAACAGCAATGGCTCAACAACAGAGAAATAAACTGTCTCAACCAAGGACAGCAAGGAATTGGGAAAAGACCTGAAAATAAAGGCAGATCCCAGTATCAAATCTCACACAACACTACAGAAAGTACTAATTCCTTACCACTCCTTCAGCTTCACTCACTCACCTCTTCCAGAGAGTTTATTCTGCTAGTCAATGTTTCCTCCATCTCTTGTTTCTTCTTCTGTGCCTCCTTCACACGCTGCAGCTCAGCATCACCACCCTGGGCCAAGCTTTCAACTGCCTTGCTGAAAGACAGAAATCCCATTGCACATCAAAGTGGAAAACATTTCAAGTGTGTGTGGTTGATGGGTTATGCTCAAGCAAGTGACTTCTGCTTTACCTGTACCTGCTTGTCACTCTCAGGTTAAATACAAACATCTACAGACAATAGAGCAGTTTGGGTGGTACAGTCTGAGTCCACACAGAGTCTTGTCACAGGGAATAAAGAAGCATTTTATAGGTGTGATGAAAAAGTGAAATATTTAATAGTTCCTTCATATTTTTAAGCTTTCAACTACAGTATCAAGCCTTTGGTAGAGCTGCATTTTCACAGGAAGCAGCACTGGAATAAACTGAAGACCTGCAGCTGCTGAGAACTCACCAACTGCATTTTCAGTGTTTGTTAATACCTTGTGAGAGAAGAGCAGCTAAGTGGTTCCTTACTAAACACAGGATGAGCTCTGGCTTATGATTGCTCCCTAAATTTTGCTTGCTATCATGACCTTGTGCAAGGTTCTCTTCCAAGCACAGCAAAAACCCTTTGAGATCCATGAAGAGACCACACAAAGATTCACCTGGTCCTGAGAATATACTTGAAACTTAGCTGCTCTGACCCACTGAGAGAAGGCAAACTGGGGACAATTCAGTGCCATGGGAGAAAGTTCCAAGGCCACTGAGGCCCACGGAGCAGCCACCAGCTGTCAGTCATTGCCAGCCTGGATTAGTTTTGAACCAGACATGTCTAGAGAAGTGCCCTCAAAATACCACTAATTACTCCTAAAGCATTAGGAAAAAACCCAAACAGGAACAAATCCCAAGTAATGGACATCAAGAAATATCCTGGTACTTACTAGGCCTTGATGAGCAGTTTCTCTCTCTCCTGCAGTTCCCTCTTCAGACTTTCTATCTCAACCTTGAGCTCAATGTTCTAGAACAAGAGAATGAAGTGTCTGGAGAGAACTCAGAGGTCACCAAACCCGAAAGGTATTGGCAATGCATATATTAACTTTTGTGTGGACCAGCAAATATAAAGGATCATTGGGCTAAGAATAGCACAGAGACATTTCAGCTGTTAAAAGATATTTTGCAAGGGTCAAGTCTTTAAGGAATCTCAAAAAACATTTAGGACCAAGCAATACAAATCCCTACACTTAACCTCTAGCATGGTCATGTTCATTTGGTTATTACTGAAGCATTAGGCCAGAAACAAATAATCACACTAAAATTTCCAGCAACAAGCAAGACTCAAAAGTTAAGTGACAGGAAACCTCCCCACAAACTAACTCTTCAAAAAGATACAGATGTGCTCAGTTATTCTAAATGCATACAATTTTGTATATCTCTTCAGTGGGACCTTCAAACTTCTGCTGCATTCGCTCCTCCAGGAAGTAAATACGAAGCTTCAGGTTGAAGTTTTCTTTTTTCAGATCAGTGATTTGCTGTGAAAGAAGAAAGAAAATGAGGAAATGATGTCATGGGTTTCAAATTAAGTAAAAACTACTATCATTTGGGTTTGCTCTCCGTAGTGTAAGACTGGAACTCAACCCCCTGGATGCAGTTTAAGATGTAGACACATGTGGGTGACACACACATATACTGAGTTAGGAAGGTGTTAATTACAGCATGTGATACCCAAGTCCAAATTAAACATCTTTCCCTCCAAGCCTGTCACCCAGGGAGCTACAAACACCCCAAGCCCTTCAACAGGTTTGTATCTTCTACAGCTTCAACACATAGCACAGGACAGATTTTCCTCCCACCATCCCAGCTATAACAATTTTCCCTCATCTCCATTCTTCACTGGAACAATAATCCCACTCCAGTCTATCCCTCCTGAAAGTTTTGGGATTTGTTTGTGGGGTTTGGTTTGGTTTGAAGACACACAGGGAGGCTGGAACACACAAATGTTGTGTGTTTGTCTAAGATGTTATCATGGATGTTATCATTTATGATAACACCTTGTGTTTATTTTTAGCCCTGCAAAGCACATAAGCAAATAAAAATTACAAAATAGTACTGTTTACAAACTTATATGTTTGCTGTGCAGACAGTGCTCTTTAGAATAGCCCTTCTTGAAATATTAAAACATTGACCAACTTTACAAAAAAGAATGCAATAAAGTTTTTTAAAATCTAAAAATATAAGATAAAACTTGACCAAAATACAGGAGTATTTTGTAAGCAAAAGCTTGGGAAGGAAGACAGTTCATGGGAGCCAGGTAGCCTTATTCATGGGAAAAGCCACAAGCACACAAGGCATGTGAGCCCAATCCAACACCAATAAAACCTTTATCCCCTCCCATATTTCACAGTGCAATTCTCTGGGGGAAAAATTGCTTCTCATTTTTAACCTTCTGAGTAGAAGCAGTAACACAGCTGATGGTTTCATTAAAGAGAGGAGTTTCCCTCTAAATTTTGTTAAGAGACTAAGCATAAAACATTCATTCAAATAAGACTTGTGTCCCCTGCCAGATGCTTTCAGCAAATGGAAATCTAATACGTTACAGAGCTACTAATAAAATATTTATGCAGCTTTGCCAAAGCAGTTCAGTGCCATTTGTAAAAATTATTAGCGAGACAACTTCTGAGATACTTGGCTTGTGAAACCTTAGATTACTTTCTGTAATAACTGCACTCACAACCTGCATCTGCAAACAATTCTTCAGGTTAATAATCCCTGCCCAGCAAGATGCCTTGTCATTCCTCACACAAGTGAACAACATCCAAGCAACTGAAAATGCAGTTGAGTCCATAAACGTGGTCAGTCACACACCCTGGAGCAGCCTGTCAGTACACCATCCCTCACAGCTGCTCTCTGCTCCTTCAGGAAAAGCCCAAGTGACAGAGACCCTCTGAAACTGCACCAGTTGAACATCTAGTTAGTCTTCACACATCCAATCTATTCCTGAGTCAAAAGGAAAAAACAATCCCAAAAGAACTCAGCACACCACAATTCCAGTCACATGTATTGCAGTGGCAAGAGAATGAAACCAAAGAGCTTGAGGGTAATATCTTCAACAGGCAAATAAAACAGGCTATGGAGTCATAAACCAAGGAGTGAAACAAATGTCATCGCTGCTGTTCAGTTTCTCAGATGAAAGTTAATTCAGGCAGACTACAATTAAAAAGTTATTGCTTAATAAAAGACAATGTGTAAAATGTGAACTAGTTCACACTGCAGAGATTCTAATGGCAACACTCTCAGCTTAGGCATTTGAACTAAGTCTTAATTCCTTTATGCATTTTGATTTGTTTTTAAAAGAAGGAATGAAACCCATAGAATCATAGAATTTAGGGGTTGGAATGGACCAGGACAATGACACTATACAGAATATTCCACACCATGGACAGCATGGCAGCAAATCCTAGCTCAGATGAGCTCCTTTCCAAGTCTGCATGGATGCAAAATGGCATCTGTCAGCAGTGGCTGTGGCTTCACAGCACAACACAGCTCTCACCAGTAGAGGCCATTTGACAAGACACCAAAACTCTAAGTAGGTTTGGAGTGACAAGAAAAAAACCCATAAACATTATTACTCAGTTCCCTAACTTGATACCCATCACCCTTTCTACTCATGAAGGCTTAACAACCCATACCAAGGTCCTCCATCAGAGATGCCTTTCACTTTGCCCATGGAATTGTTTGCTATCACAAGGTGTTTCCCCTCAAATTCCAAGAAAGTGGGACACACCATAAGTAATTCAAAAACTGCACCTCTAATATTCTCCAACTCAGCACCTTCTCCAGGTCTAAACATAAAAGGACCTTTCCTACATGGATCCACCTTCTGGCCCACCCAAGGGTCACAACATCCATCCTGTTCCCTCTGAGCTGCCAGGCCTGGAGCTCTTTTCATTACAAAGAGTTATAGAAATATCTCTGTTTAATGTAGATTCTTCCTCCTGTACTTGACTGGATCTTTGAGCTTCATTACACTGCTGCTATCCATCAAAATTCTCATCCCATGGGAAGTTTTCCAGTTCAGTTTAACATGAGGGGTCTGTAGGAACCAGGAAGCCACACCTGAAGGGAGGCCCCTTCTCCTCTACATCACACAGGACAAACAAGCACAGATCTTTTTTTTTTTCCTCCCTGATACAACTTTTTCCTCCTGTGCAAACAAACGCTGCAGATAATTAATCACTTATTCTAGACTGAGGCCTTTGGCAGTATCACAGCACAAGATGTTAAGCACACACTGATGCCAAGGCAGTGTCTGTCTACTCCAGCCAACACAGAGAAACAAAAGAGGAAGTGCAGTAGATACAGACTGTAAAAAACATCCTTCACCAAAGGCTTCCCGAAACGAGCTTTAAATTCTGAGCATAGCTTTCTCCTCAGGGGGTATGAGGCCCGGAGAAACTGAAAGAGTTTAGAAGAAACACTGGTTTCAAACACAGTGTAACTAAAGGTAAGAGCAGCAAGAGCAGCACAGGAAACTGCAGACACAGGGCAGAAGCAGCAGCCACAGCCCTTATCTGCAGCAGTCATCTCAAAGATTTCCGACTGCTCTCCCCTCCGCAGCTTCTTCACAAAATAATAAATGGTTTATATCTTTTATCTCTAGCTCTTAAAGGGGAAGTTGCCCTGCAACACAGCTCTACCACAACCAAATCATCATTCACCAGATATAAACAACTGGCTTCATCAATTTCCATAACCAATACAATTAATTGACCTTAAAAAATAGAATCATTTCCTTTACCTTCTAGTAAGGGCCAAAATAATTTTCTCTACAGAACTGTCACAATGACACTAGCTCAGAAGTACTCCAAGCACACTCATACATAATCACAAAGTTAAAAGGCATCACCCTACAGTCAATGAACTAAAAAGCCAAACCCTGTACTAGCTTCAATGAAAATAAACTTGATGTTTCCCTGAAATAAATCAACAGCAGATGTGCAAACCAAGTTCTGATATTTCTGGTGACTTGCAGGAACTTTTTGAGCAGAGGGTGCCAATTTTTGTTTCACAACTTCAACACAGCAGCTGGCTGCTCTCAACAACAAATTTCCGCCTCAGTTTTGAAAGAAACACGTAAGGACTGGAGGTCCAAAGCACAGACAGGGACATCCACCTGGTCACACCTCCAGCAGATGTGTGTCAGCTGGCACAAACTGAGAACCTGACCCTGAGAGTCAACACTTCAGACAATGTGCCCGAAGTACCTTGGCCATAAATCTGTCAACAAGTCTCATAATAAAATTCTGCTTACATTTTCGTAGTCCTTCATGGTCCAAGCTCGAGTTGGTGAGACTGTGCCTTCTGCCACATCTGGTAACCCTAGACAGTTAAGAAGACAGAACAAGTTCAGACAGCAGAATCTCTAAGCAAGGCCTCAATTTGGCAAAGGGCTGCACTAATCTAAACATAACAAAAGTACAACCTATTCTGGGAAGTGAGGGAAGCATTGCTTTGCCCCTTGTTTATCACATGTTAGTGCTACTTAGTACACAGATTCTTTTCTGAGCACACTTAACCTTCCAAATTCCAGCACTGAAACCATGATGCACACTGAAATTAGGCTATGTGAGGAGCCCTGTCAGCAACAAGTCCTCAGAGCAAGTCCAGAGGACACACATATTAGAATTAATTCTAATATGTGTGTCCTCTGGACTTGCTCTGAGGACTTGTTGCTGACAGGGCTCCTCGGCTTCCACCTCAGACTGAGGGAAACCATGGAGAGAGGAAATGGACAGAAAGTATGTTCCTAAAATGTAAACCCTCCTGAATATACCTGTACTTATTCTGTTTGCACACACATCCTACAACTGCCACATTTAACAGCTGCACAACTCATTTCCACTCAAACCAGAGTGAACTTGCAGTCAGAATAATGACAATGTATAAAACATGTAGCACTTACATCATGCTAATATAAAGATGTAGCTGAAGATTCAGACTGACTCTCATATTAAGTAAAAGAATATATTTCATTTAAAGTAATTTCCAAATTGTTATGCAACTATGCAGAGCAGTCTTGAAAATAGCCCAAGGAGCATCAGCCAGTGGTGCTCACATCTTGACATTAATTAATTTCACAAGGCTCTCCTAGAGCAAATGCACAATGTAATAACACTAATGGGTATGTACCTTATATCTGCTTCCTCCTCTGAGCAAACATCTTCCTGGTAAACTATCTAATTTAATTTGTCTTACTTTCAATTACCTACTTCACCTACACCACCAAGTCAGCCAAGTGATGTTGCTGGAAACACACTTGGATGAAGAGAAGATAACACACAGAGCTCAAGTTCACAATAACAGAACATGGACAGTTAACAACACAGAAAAGAGATTTCAAACTAGTACTATCCAGATATTTGACTTTAAAATAAGGGCTGCAAGCAAATCTCCCACACCTGAATGTGAACATAGTTATGTGGTACCTAGAGTACCTGAAGGGGCTCCAAGAGAGCTGGGGAGAGATTGGAGTGACAGCACAAGAGGGAATGGCTTCATGCTGATAGAGGACAGGGATAGATGGGATATTGGGAAGAAATTCTTCCCTGGGAGGTGCTGAGACACTGGCACTGGTTGCTCACAACAGCTGTGGCTGCTCCATCCCTGGGAGTGTTCCAGGCCAGGTTGGATGGGGATTGGAACAACCTGGGCTGGTGGAAGGTGTCCCTGCCCAGGGCAGGGGGTGGAACGAGATGATCTTTAAGGTCCTTCCAACCCAGTCTGTGACTGTACAATCATCACACAGAAAAATGTCCTGAATCACAGCTTCTGTCCAAGGGGGACCAGACAGGAAGGTTTCTTAACGCACTCCTAAATACAAGCCAAGATATCGAGTGTAGAGCATGTTCTCGGGCAGGAGGGAGCTGTGAAGAGCCAAAGCGATAAGCTGGCGATGCACAGCGCCCAGCCCCGCCGGGGCGAGCAGGACAGCGGGAGCAATGCTGTCCCGCTGGACATTCCCAGCGTTTCCAGCACGCGCTGGTCTCCTGATGTAAGGCAGCGACCGCGGCCAGGCAGCGCTGCCGGCGACCCGCGCTCCTGCAGAGCCGCAACTCACACAAACATCACTTCACAAACATTTCTCTCCTTCCCCCCCGCTCCAGGCTCGATGTTTTCCCCCTCGCTCCGCGCC